GGGAGGCGTAAAAGTATAAACAGTATAAACAGGTTATGCTTCTTTAGCTTACTAGTTGATTTAATAAGGTTTATATGCTTTCGCGTCTTGAGAATTTTGCTTTTGATGTTTTATATCTTGCGTTTAAACGTATTTTATCTTAATTAGCATGCTTATTACTTAATTAGTTGGGATCGTCATAAAGGAGATGTCGCAACTATTGAAATCGTGGAAGAAAAAGCTGAGCTTACTCGTGTCCAGAGAAAACAATTGAAAAAACAGGCATTTTTGGTATGATTTAGAATGATGCTACTATCAAAATTTCTTTGTTTTTAACATGTTCCATTTTAGTGTTTTTGCAAGATGTTATACACCCTGTTTGCTTTACGCAATTTTAAGATTAAATGCTTTTGTCTCATTATTTCATAGCTTATTTTGATTTCAAGAGATTCTTTGAGAATATTAAAATCACATTCAGTTATTACAGCTTTTTTTGAAATTTCACTGGGATATATATGAATATTATATATATATATATATATATATATATCGATAGGATCGCTATTCATTATCAGCTTTGTCATATAATTTATGAAAAATAATTTATTATTTCTAATCTTTGTCACTTCAGGATATTTTGCATCATTTTATTGCTCGTTCTGGAGATTCTAGGGCTGGTTATTTGAATTTTATCAAAGTCGCACTGAGCAAGATGCTTGAATACGAAGTTCAATCTGATTTAGAATGCTACAAGGCTATCCTCTCTGTTTTTCCTCCCGAGGGCTTCAAACCACGTGGATTGATTCACTCCGAGCTTGGACATTTTATGCTTCAGCAAGTCGAAGTGATCAAATTAATGAATCAGATGACCATGTATGGTAAGCTTTGTGAGCTTTTTTGTGAATTTTATAATAATGGCTTGAATTAAAGCCTGATTTATCTGAATTCTAGAATCCATTAGTGACATTTGCTATGGCGTCCTTTCTTTTATGTTTCATCTTGAATCATTCTGCTTTACACTTTAAGTTCCTTGTAAATAAGAAACATAGCATTTTAGTCGGCTCCACATTTCAATTTTGCAAATAAATGAATAGTCTTGTACACAAATCAAATATCCAACTTATAAATCCACCCTGATTAATTAACTTACTGAAGATATGAAGACCAAGATGGTGCAGTCTCTATCTTGATTGCCGTGCCTTTTTGCTGTATAGAGGTGGTTTGACCTCATTTTCTTAACATGATCGTGTTGTCAGTGCAACCTAAATGAACTCATCTGGTTCGAAGTCCTCTTCCATAGTATTCTTGATAATTTACAGTGCCGGACTATGGATCTGACACGTTCCCAGATGTTTCACCTACATTCTAATTTAGTCTAGCCAGTCATGGCAGCAAGCTAAAACTGTTCAGAGACAAGAAGAATCCATCCATTTGGCAC